ACAAAATCACACAAAAATTATCAATGGAAATCAAATTTATCAACCCGTGGAGGTCTGGATTTGGAGTCACCCTCAAAATTAAAGTGGAAAACCACACTACAGGCTGATCCAACTTTGATGTAATGTCCTTAAAACAAGTCAAAATGAGGCTCAGTAGTGTGTGTGGCCTCCACGTGCCTGTATGACCTCCCTACAACGCCTGGGCATGCTCCTGATGAGGTGGCGGATGGTCTCCTGAGGGATCTCCTCCCAGACCTGGACTAAAGCATCCGCCAACTCCTGGACAGTCTGTGGTGAAACGTGCCGTTGGTGGATGGAGCGAGACATGATGTCCCAGATGTGCTCAATTGGATTCAGGTCTGGGGAACGGGCGGGCCAGTCCATAGCATCAATGCCTTCCTCTTGCAGGAACTGCTGACACACTCCAGCCACATGAGGTCTAGCATTGTCTTGCATTAGGAGGAACCCAGGGCCAACCGCACCAGCATATGGTCTCACAAGCGGTCTGAGGATCTCATCTCGGTACCTAATGGCAGTCAGGCTACCTCTGGCGAGCACATGGAGGGCTGTGCGGCCCCCAAAAGAAATGCCACCCCACACCATGACTGACCCACCGCCAAACCGGTCATGCTGGAGGATGTTGCAGGCAGCAGAACGTTCTCCACGGCGTCTCCAGACTCTGTCACGTGCTCAGTGTGAATCTGCTTTCATCTGTGAAGAGCACAGGGCGCCAGTGGCGAATTTGCCAATCTTGGTGTTCTCTGGCAAATGCCAAACGTCCTGCACGGTGTTGGGCTGTAAGCACAACCCCCACCTGTGGACGTCGGGCCCTCATACCACCCTCATGGAGTCTGTTTCTGACCGTTTGAGCAGACACATGCACATTTGTGGCCTGCTGGAGGTCATTTTGCAGGGCTCTGGCAGTGCTCTTCCTGCTCCTCCTTGCACAAAGGCAGAGGTAGCGGTCCTGCTGCTGGGTTGTTGCCCTCCTACGGCCTCCTCCACGTCTCCTGATGTACTGGCCTGTCTCCTGGTAGTGCCTCCATGCTCTGGACACTACGCTGACAGACACAGCAAACCTTCTTGCCACAGCTCGCATTGATGTGCCATCCTGGATGAGCTGCACTACCTGAGCCACTTGTGTGGGTTGTAGATTCAGTCTATGCTACCCCACTAGAGTGAAAGCACCGCCAGCATTCAAAAGTGACCAAAACATCAGCCAGGAAGCATAGGAACTGAGAAGTGGTCTGTGGTCACCACCTGCAAAACCAGTCCTTTATTGGGGGTGTCTTGCTAATTGCCTATAATTTCCACCTGTTGTCTATTCCATTTGCACAACAGCATGTGAAATGTATTGTCAATCAGTGTTGCTTCCTAAGTGGACAGTTTGATTTCACAGAAGTGTGATTGACTTGGAGTTACATTGTGTTGTTTAAGTGTTCCCTTTATTTTTTTGAGCAGTCTATATCACAGTATCACAAAATCCTGGAGGAACTGATTTTTACACAAATGAACTAACCTTTTTTCAACTTCAAAGCATATAACATACCAAAAACAAATGATATCATTTGCTCTACATTAACAAAACATTTACCCTATCAAATATATTACCACTATTCTAAGTAAATGTATGACTTTTATTTATTTGTTAATTTATTTATTACAGATGCAGTACAAGCTCTGTTTTGAACACATGCTTTGCACACACACATCACATCATTCCCAATCTACTGCAAATCTACCATAAATATATAAATAAATTGCATTAAGCTTTCAGTTAAACATTCACCCACTTGCAATCACTATTGTCATTGCATTGCATTTTCACTCGACCCCAAAGTAAAACCTCATATAAAAAGAAACTGGAAGAAGTGGAACATAACAAAGCAAAACCTCCTGTATGATTAACTTGTGTAATTTTTTACTTTGACCTTTGAACCTCTCTTCTAGTCCACCGCAACATGCCCATGGACCATGCCATGGACTTTGTGATGGCGCAGTATGGCCGTGGGCTTGGGGAGCAGACGCAGCAGAAGGACCCTGCAGAAACGGGGGCGCGGGCGGCCGAGCTGGTGGATGATTACCTCAAGAGGGAGAAGGTGGAGAGGCATTCTGTGCCCTCTGACACCCGCCAGCTGCTCTTCTTCCTGGCCGAGGGAGTCCACCTGTACCCCGAGGAGCTGAGCACCATCGCAGAGTACCTCCGCAACCGCCAGCACCATCTGCAAGGTGCAGCCACACACAACCATAGTCGAACATCTCATTCCAAAATCATTGGCATTAATATGGAGTTGGTCCCCCCTTTGCTGCTATAACAGCCTCCACTCTTCTGGGAATGCTTTCCAATAGATGTTGGAACATTGCTGCGGGGACTTGCTTCCATTCAGCCACAAGCATTAGTGAGGTCGGGCGATTAGGCCTGGCTCACAATCGGCGTTCCAATTCATCCCAAAGGTGTTCGATGGTGTTGAGGTCAGTGCTCTGTGCAGGCCAGTCAAGTTCTTCCACAACGATATCGACAAGCCATTTCTGTATGTACCTCGCTTTGTGCACGGGGGCATTGTTGCCACAAAGTTGGATGCACAGAATCGTCTAGAATGTCATTGTATGCTGTAGCGTTAAGATTTCCCTTCACTGGAACTAAGGGGCCTTGCCCGAACCAAAAACGGCTCCAGACCATATGCATCCAGATTCGTCCGTCGGACTGCCAGATGGTGAAGCGTGATTCATCAATCCAGAGAACACGTTTCCACTGCTCCAGAGTCCAAGCTTTACACCACTCCAGCCGACACTTGGCATTGCGCATGGTGATCTTAGGCTTGTGTGCGGCTGCTCGGCCAAGGAAACCCATTTCATGAAGCTCCCGACTAACAGTTCTTGTGCTGACGTTGCTTCCAGAGGCAGTTTGGAACTCAGTAGTGAGTGTTCCAACCGAGGACAGACGATTTTGTTTTTACACGCTATGCGCATCAGCACTCGGTGGTCCCTCGGTGGTTCTGTGAGCTTGTGTGGCCTACCACTTTGCGGCTGAGACGTTGTTGCTCCTAGACGTTTCCACTTCACAATAACAGCACTTACAGTTGACCGGGGCAGCTCTAGCAGGGGAGAAATTTGACAGATTGACTTGTTGGAAAGGTGGCATACTATGACGGTGCCACGTTGATCGTCACTGAGCTCTTTCATAAGGCCATTCTACTGCCAATGTTTGTCTATGGAGATTGCATGGCTGTGTGCTTGATTTTATACACCTGTCAGCAGTCGGTGTGGCTGAAATAGCCGAATCCACTAATTTGAAGGGGTGTCCACATACTTTTGTATATACAGTGAGGGATAAAAGTATTTGATCCCCTGCTGATTTTGTACGTTTGCCCACTGACAAAGAAATGATCAGTCTATAATTTTAATGGTAGGTTTATTTGAACAGTGAGAGACAGAATAACAACAATAAAATCCAGAAAAACGCATGTCAAAAATGTTATAAATTGATTTGCATTTTAATGAGGGAAATAAGTATTTGACCCCCTCTCAATCAAAAAGATTTCTGGCTCCCTTTTAAGAGTGTGCTCCTAATCTCAGCTCGTTACCTGTATAAAAGACACCTGTCCACAGAAGCAATCAATCAATCAGATTCCAAACTCTCCACCATGGCCAAGACCAAAGAGCTCTCCAAGGATGTCAGGGACAAGATTGTAGACCTATACAAGGCTGGAATGGGCTACAAGACCATCGCCAAGCAGCTTGGTGAGAAGGTGACAACAGTTGGTGCGATTATTCGCAAATGGAAGAAACACAAAAGAACTGTCAATCTCCCTCGGCCTGGGGCTCCATGCAAGATCTCACCTCGTGGAGTTGCAATTATCATGAGAACGGTGAGGAATCAGCCCAGAACTACACGGGAGGATCTTGTCAATGATCTCAAGGCAGCTGGGACCATAGTCACCAAGAAAACAATTGGTAACACACTACGCCGTGAAGGACTGAAATCCTGCAGCTCCCGCAAGGTCACCCTGCTCAAGAAAGCACATATACAGGCCCGTCTGAAGTTTGCCAATGAACATCTGAATGATTCAGAGAATAACTGGGTGAAAGTGTTGTGGTCAGATGAGACCAAAATGGAGCTCTTTGGCATCAACTCAACTCGCCGTGTTTGGAGGAGGAGGAATGCTGCCTATGACCCCAAGAACACCATCCCCACCATCAAACATGGAGGTGAAAACATTATGCTTTGGGGTTGTTTTTCTGCTAAGGGGACAGGACAACTTCACCGCATCAAAGGGACGATGGACGGGGCCATGTACCGCCAAATCTTGGGTGAGAACCTCCTTCCCTCAGCCAGGGCATTGAAAATGGGTCGTGGATGGGTATTCCAGCATGACAATGACCCAAACACATGGCCAAGGCAACAAAGGAGTGGCTCAAGAAGAAGCACATTAAGGTCCTGGAGTGGCCTTGCCAGTCTCCAGACCTTAATCCCATAGAAAATCTGTGGAGGGAGCTGAAGGTTCGAGTTGCCAAACGTCAGGCTCGAAACCTTAATGACTTGGAGAAGATCTGCAAAGAGGAGTTGGACAAAATCCCTCCTGAGATGTGTGCAAACCTGGTGGCCAACTACAAGAAACGTCTGACCTCTGTGATTGCCAACAAGGGTTTTGTCACCAAGTACTAAATCCTGTTTTGCAGAGGGGTCAAATACCTATTTCCCTCATTAAAATGCAAATCAATTTATAACATTTTTGACATGCGTTTTTCTGGATTTTATTGTTGTTTCTGTCTCTCACTGTTCAAATAAACCTACCATTAAAATTATAGACTGATCATTTCTTTGTCAGTGGGCAAACGTACAAAATCAGCAGGGGATCAAATACTTTTTTCCCTCACACTATACAGTATCTCCTTATTTGCTAATACTTAATGTGATTGTTGCATGTCTAACTACACCATACATTGTCATTTGGTAATGGAAATATAGGATTCTTAGAATATCCTAGAAAAGTGACAAAATGCTGAGTTATAGTAATTGTATTTTTAGGATGTCATACTGTTCTATATAAGGTTGTTCTGTTTTTTTCTCTTTCCCAGCCATGTCCACTGAGACCGGTGATGGCCCCCTTCCTGAGAGGAGGAAGATGTTGCCTCCTGGTTTAGGGAAACCCCCACCGCTGCTACCCACCCCCTCAGGCCCTCGTGGCAGAGAGACACCCCCTGGAATGGGAGAGCACTCTGCTAACCCCCTCATGACTTCTCCAGGTGAGTAACTGTTCTAAAACTAGACATGTTCTACAGGACAGATGGGCATTAGATGGCAATGTCTAAAATCAAACTCATGAGTCAATTGTTATTGCTATGCTTGTATATGTGTCGACAGTCTTTGATCTGTTTTCTATCTAGGCTCATACCCCAAGACCAAGCCCCCTCCACTGCTATCCATGCACCCTTCTACACATGGCCCTCCTCACGGCATCCACGGTCCACTACATCGAGGACCCCCACACCAACACGGCCCCCCTAACCCCCGAGGGCCCCCACCCCCCCGTGGCCCCATGCCCCCACACGGCCCCAGAGGAACCTCACTGAAGAGCCTTCACATGGGACCCCAGCCTGGGCTGTTCACCTGTCCAGGTTAGTCACATGCTTTACTGTTCTACTGTTTCATGCCCTTCACATGTCATCTTAGGTTAGACTCACTTAGAGCTCTATTCCATGAAATGTAAGCGTCTTAAAGAGGAAATACACCAGAGCAACTTAAAAGCAGTGAGTGGCCGTCCTATCGCCTCTGACCACAGAACACTGGCCATAATTTTATTTTCATTTCCTGATGCTTCTACATGTTGAATTGTCACTGTTCTTCAACACCCAGCAGGGAATTGACTGTGTACGGCTGATGTTCGTTATGGAGTGTCTTCCCTCTTGGTGTCAGCAACACACAATACAAAACAACAGCAACATTGATGTAATATGTCAATGTCCACAAGTTTTATCGAACCATGTTCCTCTCTCCTGTCTGATCAGGTGGTCCGCCTCCACTCCCTAACACCCAGGCGCTGAGAGAACGTCATCTCTAGACCACCATGGACAGACAACAAAGAATCAGAGCTGATCAGGACACACTGTCATACTGGCCTGAGGAGTGGGATCTCCTTCAGCTCAGTGCCCTGCTGCTGCCCTCTCAGGAACCCACAGTACCACTCCTCATCCAGAGCCCTGTGGAGATACAGGATCTCTGTATCCATAGTTTAGCAAGCTGAAATGGAATATTGTGAGTTGCATTTGACTATTTGGGAGTTCACAGCTCAATTTTCATGAGTGTGAGTTGACCCACTACAATGTTCAGGAGCCAAGTCAGAACAAATGATCAGATTTTAAGTTTCATTCGCAGATTCTTTGTTTTATATTTTTGTCTGTTTTTGTTGTTTTTCTTTTAACTGGATATTGTCTATAAAATGTTATACCGGTAATACATAACACAATAAAGGCTAATCAAGAACCAAAATATCTATACTAATTTCCTAATAAAAGAAAGCATCTTCATGCATCAATCTTCTCTTGCTACCATCTCCCTCAGTCACAATGGCCTGTCTTTGCATTGCATCCCAGATTTGCCCTAGGCCTAGGAGGATATGATGCCAGTATGCTAGCGATTTAAGATAAGCATGATATCCCATTAATGTGTTAAATATGAAGGTGCTGTGTTCAGGAGCAGGTCTGAACATTGTAACATCCATGCTCTGAGGCATCAACTTACATTATCAAAATGTATTTTGTGAGATAACTAGGTAAATAATTGGTAATAATACTGGAATAAGATGATCTACTAAACAATAGCTTTTAATTCTGCTTCTTAAGCTCTGTATTGAAAATCAAATCAAAGTTTATTGGTCGCATACACCGATTTGCAGATGTTATCGCAGGTGCAGCGAAGTGCTTGTAACAGGCATTTTATTAGAAGAATAACAAATTCCATTGTAACCTTTTCAGTTGAAGGTCTGAGAGAAATGAATGCACTTTTCAAGAGCTTTCATGTTAATTCCTTTTCCTGTATCATTTCCCATGATCAAATTATAATTTTAGCACAAATTATCACCCAGTGTTTAGGACAGTATAGACGGTGTTACTAAGCATTAGCTGGTACCTGTTCCGGATTAGGAACCCTCAATATGACATGCCCATCAACATTAAGAAGTTATTGTGGAGATGTTTCATAATCTACATGTACTATATCAAAAATGGATGAGATCAAATGTATCCATTCCAACCTTAGCCAGTGGAATGTTGTAAAATCAACAACAAAAAAATCACTAGATGGTGCTATAGCTCCATTCAACTTTTATCTTTGAAACCGCTGCATCGCCAATATCAAATGTTTAGTCTTCTCTGAAATGAAAAGCCTCAAATCTATTTATTATATCAAAGTCCCAGTTGAAATGTTTTCATTGCTGTTTTGCCACAGGCCTGTAATGTTGCTTTTCATTATTTGCGTTCTTAGTCATTTCTTATTCCGTATTAGTTTGTGAAAGAAGCACTGAACTCATAATTTAGATTAGAGGGAAACAATCTTGTTACTGAAAGTGTTCTTCAACAGATAAAGGTGCCAGACTTTTTGAGAACGAAATCAACTCTTCAATTCTATATTCATCCATTTCATATTGTGCACCATGTCAACTGTATTATGTTTTGATTTGTGGCATTAAAAAGTTTATTAAGATGTACCCAGTCTGAACACCATTGAGGCTTACATGAGGACATATGCAATAGTTCCCAATATAACAGTAATGATAGCTCTATTCAAAGTTTGAATCCAATAACTTTACTTTCAGAAAAAGGCTGTCCTATATCAGTGCTGCGAAACAAAGCCATTGTTGGCTGATGTACAGACAGTATATGTATTTCCAGTACACTGTCTGTTGTACATTGCTGAAAATCAAGTTGGGGGAAAAATCTATTTACTACTGTTTCTTCTCATTTGGCTGTGTGTATTGCAGGATGCACATGGTCATGGTTGGATTAGAGTTAGCGTGTGGTTGTGGTAGGGTGTGATTGTGGTGTTGAGTTTAGGAGTTAGTTGTGTGGTAGTGGCACACAGAGTCAGTGTGACTGTGTATGAGTGGGTGGATGTGTGTGGCCAGGCATGTTCTCCAGTTGTTTGTGTCTCCAACTCCTGATCACAGGCCCTCGGCTGCAGCTGTGAAGAATCCATCAACTCTCAAAGTAATGGCAAAATGTTTATGCTTCATTTCACCAGCTGAGAAATGTTGATTGGAGCTTTGTGGGAGAAGGGAAAAACAACATTTAAAGTAGAAGAATGGCTAGACTGAAAGATGGATAATCCGATTGACGAATCAACCGCTTAAATACAATCATTTTTGCACACACACCTCCAACTTTTAACCCATGTTTTTGCACATGTATGCCTACGTACAGGAAGTAATCACGTTGAGAAAACATTCAGACGCACAGAAGGATGGCCCTCCCCTGAAGCCTACATATACTTTCCACTCCTGAGTTCACAATTGGATATCAATCAAAATGTATCACAATGACTATTCCTGGCACTGTTGTGTCAGAATTCACACCATCTGATCTGCAGTTGGCTCTTAATGGGACTTGTTTCTTCGTTACCTTAACCCCACACTGTGCCTGTGTGTTCTGCTGTGAATGAGATCTTCATTAGGATCCTCCAGTTCCGACCCCCCACCATCGCCACGGATGAGTGCCAGGTAAGCACTCTAACAGCCAAACATGTTGATAATTAGACCCCCGTTATTGGAAGGTGTTATCACTACAATTAACATTCCAATGCGTGGGTATCTATAAGGGGTGGGGTTGATTGATTTGGGGTCGGTAGCTTTGTGTGTCTAGATTAATGCCCCCTTCTCATTTAAATGTGATTTAAGGTCAATGAGAAAGCCTCTTTATTCTGATTGAGCACATGTCTATATGGTACATTTTGATCATGTGTATTTTATTTGAGGACATTTAATATTGAGGGTAAATGTGCACTATAGTCTGCATGTATTTGTGTCTCAGTGGTATAAAGTTTATGCATGGGATAAGAGTAAAGTCACCCACTCTTTGAGACTCTCTCACACAATAAGAGAGATGAAAGGCTGTGTATTTTGTTTCCATCCATTCTTCAAGACACATTTCTTTTTCCCCCTCTGCCTATTTGGCAAAAACATGCTTCTCTTTTTCTTTTTTCTTCAGTTTTCCTCCCTAAAGTTGGTTGGCTTGGCTGTGCCGCCATTCCTCAGTTCCTCAACATCAGTGACAGATCCGGCAAGGCCCCTGTGCACAATAGGCTTTAATTGGGTTAAGTTTGTCCGCCACAGATAACATTTCTCTTTCTGTTGAGAATAAAACAAATTGCTGGCACTAATGGCACTGTTTAATGTAGCTCTTATTATTATGGATGGAGGAAATTAGGAGGAGACTCCCTACAGAGAGCTGATGTCATGGGAGTGAGTCCATTGTTGCAGCTCATCAGAAAAGCTTTTTCACTGGAGTGCCGTCAGCCTTGCACTGCCTCCTCTTCCCATTTTCTGCCAAAAATACACAGACACTTTTTAAACGCAGTATGGGCAGCCGAAATCCCATTGAATGTGCATTCACACAGAAGTCGGCAGGTAGCTTAGTGCTTAAGAGCGTTGTGCCAGTAACCGAAAGGTCGCTGGTTCTAATCCCCGAGCCGACTAGGTGAATAATCTGTCGATGTGCCCTTGAACAAGGCACTTAACCCTAATTGCTCCTGTAAGTCGCTCTGGATAAGAACGTCTGCTAAATGACTCAAATGTAAGTCAAGGATTGAGTGAAATATTCTAGGTGGGAAAAAAATATGAGGAAAAAGACATAACTTAACAAACGGAATGGGCAAATATTATTTTATACTAATACAATTGATCAGGGAAAGAGATTTTGTTTAACAACATATTTATTTTCCTCCAAAAAGTAGGGAGTCAAAATTATTGACACCCCTATATAGTCTTATAAATAAAGTAGTCTGTTATTGGTAATGGTGCTAACCTCTCACCATTACCAATGACAGGGGAGGAGGTTAGCATGTCTTGGGGCTATGATCTTTGACCTTCTGTAGTTTTCTCACTCATCATTATTCATGAGTAATTCAGGATTATCCGTAATCATGGTAGCATCCACATTAATGTTGAACTGTTTATAAACATATTATATTCTTATTTACAATAAAAGTTACTCCAAGATGACACAATACATTATTTACCATTTCTATTGGGCACAAAATAATCTGAAACACAACCAAAACTAACTGCAAATGCATCCAACAAGTTTATAGAGTCACAAGCTTGATGTAGTCATTGCTGCTAGGAATATGGGACTGAATACTCAACGTTTGACTACTTTATTTCTAAGAATCTTTAGGGTGTCAATGTTGACCCCTATCTTTTTGAGGAAAAAAATAGCATTACTTGTTAAACAACATCACTTTCTCTGAGCAATTGTATTAGTAGAAAATAATATAATTTCCCAATTTTTTGAGCATACAATGTAGCTCACTATTTGAGTAATTAATTTTATACAGTCATTATTGCCCATCTTTATCAAGGGTGTCAATAATTTCAGACCCCATTGTACATGAATACATGAATATCCCAAC